CAAGATCACCACCATGCACAGAACTACTGTTCCAACAACTTGTAAAGTCATCAAAGTCATTTCTTTCTCCTGGCAACTCCCTGGAGGGTTAAGTACTATTGTGTTCAATGTGACCTTGCACTTGACTCATCTAAGAGAAGTAGAATTAGGATTGAACCCAGAGTCTGGCTCCAGAGTCACTTCACTATAATATACCTAAGTGCCAGCTACCCAGTGGAAGTCCCTCACCACTTCCACCCCTCCCCCCCCCCCCCCCCGACCCCCAGCAACCAGGTCACTCTGAAAGGTCTCCTTCCAACCTTCCAACTGGCTCAGCCTGAGGAGGCCACCCCTCAACCTCACCCTATCCCTAGTACTGTCCTCTGCTTCAGCCTCAATCTCCCTGTAACAACCATTTGAAAATAACTGGAAAGATATGTCGAAGTCATTTAACCTTCGTCCATGCATTTCTCTAACAAATACTTAGGGAGGGCCTAGGAGGTAATAGGCGTAGGATACAGCAGTGGTCAAATCAGACGAGGGGGGTCAGACAAGATACAAAATAAATGTAAAAAATGTTACAGAGAAAAGTAAAGGGGAAAGGGGGCACAGGAAAGGGATGTCAGATAAAGAGAAGAAGGGATGATTATAGGAACGGAGGGGGGTCCTGTATTTTACCTGTCATCCCAGTTAATTGTCACACCCACTCGGTGAGGTAGGTGTATCCCCATTTTACGGAGGAGCTGGATCAGAGAGGTGACATAAACTTGCCTAGGGACCCTCCTGGCTGCAGGGGAGATTTAGGACGGTAGCCCCACCCAGGCTCCCCACACCCCTCCCCCACCCCCTCAGAGCGGGCTGCTAGGTAGAATTCAAGTCCACCCACTGAGGAGCAGTCCACTCAGTATTCATAGCTTCCAACTCCCCTGTGATGGGAGCCACAATGTTCCTGGAGGAACTTCCTGGCCAGCTAACCCACAGAAACCTGCCCTGGGGCAGATGAGGCCCTAAGAAGCCCTCCTGCCTCCAAGCACAGGCACGTTCACAAACAAGCCAGACCCCTTTTGTAAACAGCAGAGCAGAAGCCAACCAGTAAGTATTCCTTTGGCTCCTGCACAGTCTTTTGGCTCCTGTTTTTCAACCCTCCTTGCTATGTCCAACCCTAAGTGACCGCACATGTTCATGGATAGATGAGTGGTCTAGTCAGGGTCACCATGGAAAGTTCAGGGCCAGGAGCGGGGTCAAACTCCAGCTGCTCCCTCCACCCACAGTGGCCTTTGTGGCAGAAGGGGGAGGGGTGGAGGCTGTGAGATTTACTGATGTTTACAGAGACTGGGTTGTCCTTCTTTTAATGGGTGAGTGGGGAGGGGTACCATCCCCTCCTTGAGTCATTCTAGTTGGTTGAGGTCTCCCCAGGCATGGACCTCCTAGAGAGGACCCCAAGATAGCTGGTCCCTCATCACTGGGTCAGGCTTCCCAGAGAGGGTGGGCCTCAAAGGATGGCTGTCCGGGACCACATACTTTTCACCTTCACAGCCCCAGGCCCTCCCTAGAAGGCCAGGCTTGCACTCGGCTTCAAGTGGTTTCTGTGGTTTAGGGGGTGGGAAGGAAGGGAAAGAGAAGTTGGTGACTGCTCCCCAGTTCCAAGCCACCACCACCACCCTCCGCCCCTTCCAACCTGCTTGCCCCTTGGCTGAGATGCCAGCTTGATAAGAGAACTTGGGCACGTGGGGGGTGAAATGATTCTCTTGAAAGTATCTGAGGAGGAAATACCCACTGCCCTGCTTTGAAAGGTCTGATTCATCTAGAAAAGGGGCTGTGATTGAAGCAGGAGGGAGGAAGGTTAGGCATCAGGGGGGACTTCCCAAAAGGATGTCCGAGGTGCGTTCTTACCCTGGGAAGAAAGAACCCGTCATTCATGCTTAGGGCAGGAAAGGGGTAGAGACATGAGAATGTCTAAGAAGCATGTGACTCACTGAGGCCTAGAGGCCAGGACCCTGGCTTCCAACCCCCTGCCCTCCCCCTTACTTCCTCCCCATCCCACACAGTGGTACAAAGTGGCACAGCTCTGAGAGTCAGCCATACCTGTGGTATCTGGGGTGGGAAGGGCTGCCTGGCATCGTTCCAGAGCCAAGTGCCCATCCCCAGGCACTCGGCATGCTCAGTGTCCACAGTTGGCAAGTCGGAAAGGGCCCAGGGGACCCAGAGTTACGGAGGAAGAGGGGCTTAAAGAGGAGAAGAGACAGAGAAGGAAGAGCTGGAGGGGACAGAAAACAGAAGTGCCATGGACAGGGAGGGGCTGCAGGGAGAGACAGGGAGAGGATACTGAGTGGATGGAAGCAAAGCTGGTCATCAGAGGGAAGGGAGAGCAGGGCATCATGCCAGCACCCAGCCCTCTGCCTTGTCTACCAGAAGGCGCTGGTGGGATGGTATTTTGCAGAACTTTGCTTCTTACTCCAAGCCTGCCCAGGGACAGAGCCCCAGAACAGACCAACATCCTGTTCTGTGCAGAGAAGTGCACATAGACGCGTGGGTTATGCATTTACCAAAAGGACATGGGGACAGCCAGAGGCTGTTTGTGAGAGGCACGAACACACACCCTCAGACTCTCCATACGAGAAGGTTCCCCAAAAGTTTCCACTTCGCTCTTCCTCGTTCCCCATCTCTTTGTCAACTCTCTGGGCAGTTGGAAAGTCCTCCTCTACGTCTAACCTTTGTCCCTCAAGCTGCAGCCATTGGGAGACGCTGGGAGCTACTCAGGAACAGAGGTGCTGATGGTAGCAGAGCCTGACGCTCCAGGGCCGGGCAGGAGTGGAGGATGGCGAGATGGGAGGGCCCAGGAGGAAGGGACAGCTGCCTGCCCTCTCCACGCCAGGTGCCACGTGCGCCAGGTTGGGGGGGGGGGTGGTGCGGGTGAGTCACGAGGCTGTGGCGTGGCTGGCTTCTGCTCCGCTGTTTACCAGCTGGGAGGGAAAGCAGGAGGAGGTGCCAGGGAGCCTCCCCACTGCAGCCTGGCCCCTAGCCAGCTGGCCTGTTGGGTAACCAGGGGAGCCAGGCCCAGCTAATCAAACTCTGGCCAAGGCTGTGCAGGAGAGAAGTGGCAGCCAGAACCTGCTGAAGCCTCCCCCTGCAGCCCTCCCCCTGCAGCGAGCCCTTCCCGGGGCTGGCCCAGTGCGGGCCCACTCAGCTTGGGCTCCTCATCCCCCAACCAGTAAGTGTAGCACCTCTCCTCTCCCCTCCCATTGATCCTCTGCCTCCACACACTCCTCCAGGCCTGCCCCCACCCCAGCCCCAACAGCCCCAGGAGGACGTCAGGGAACTCCAGGGAAGGGCGGCCGTGAGGGTCAGGGGCTAAGCAGACAGAGGCCTCAAGGAACCCAGGACCCACTGGGATGTCTGATCGCATCCTGGAGAAAAGGCACAATCTACTCCCCCCCAACCCCCCAAATAAACCTACCTCTCTCTCCCTTTGCCTGTCTCTGTCAGGGAAAAAGCACATGCTTTTGAAGTCACAAAGACCCGGGTTCAAAATCACAGTCCAACCGACCACTTATTGACTTTGTACAAGTCCGTGAGTCATTAATCCCTTTGAGCATCACTTAGCTTATGTGCAAACCTGGAATAATTATGTTTACCTCCTGGTGGATATTGTAAGGATGGAAGAAAATCATGGGTTTACATAAAGTGCCTGGCAAAGGGCCCAGCACACAGTAGGCGATCAGTAAATTCCAGGCCCCTTCCCTTGCCTTCACCTATCCTATTTCTCCTCAAGGCTCCAAAATCTGTTCCTTGGGCCCCTCCCCTTGTCCCCTCCCAGTGCCAGGACGCTCTGCCAGCCACTCCTTTCCCCTGCCTGCTGGCGGGCCAGGTGCTCCCTCCCTCCACACACTCCTCCCCCCTCCCCTGGGCCTTGCTCCCTGCCCTCCTGGGCAGCCAGGGCAGCAAGGACGGCACCCAGGGAGTTGCCCCATGGACAGGGCCCCACAGAGACACCACCGAGCCTCCCAGGGTAAGAGGCCCTAGGCCCTGCAGGCAGGTGGAAGGGACTGCCAGGAGGTTCAGAGGAGAGGGTAGAGACAGGACTGGTCAAGAAATGAGGAGGGAAGGAGGAACAAGAGAAGCAGAAAGGAGAGATGGATTGTCAGGGGACCGCAGACAGGTGAGACAGGACAAGCCTTGATAGAACTGAAGGAGAAACGGGAGGAGGGGCTGGGGACATGAGAGGAGAATAGGAAAGGGGGGAAATGCATTGAGGGAAAAGAAAGGGAGAAGTGAGGAAGGAGACAGTGCGGTGGAGGGAGGAGAGAGGGGCTCAGGCAGGGAAGCTAGAGCCAGGGGAGGATTAGAGTATGGGCAGGCCCCACAAGAGGCTGCACCCCTGGGAGAAGTGGGGGCACTGCTATACTGCCTCCGCCGGCTGGAACCCCGCACAGCAGTGGCTGGGAAGCTGGCCACTTCCATTCTGTTCACTTGCCACTGGAGAAACCTGTCCTGCCTTTGAGGGTGACAGACAAGGGTGGGGGAGGAAGCAAGTTGCCCATGTCCACTAGCCTGGCACCTTCCTCCCACTGGGGCTTCGTTTCTGCAGAGAATGTGGGGTACTGAGCCCAGGGCAGCGGGGGACAGAGAGGCGGGCAGTCCTTGGCCCTACCAATGATCTAATCAGAGACCCTCTCAAAGCAGATCCCACGGCCACATGTTTGGTCAGCTGTGAGCTCGGAGGGGGAAGCCTGAGGGCCAGAGCTGCCAGCTCCAGGGCCATCTGGTGGAGGAAGGACGCCACTGCCACGCAGGGGACACCCCCACCCCAGGACTGCTCTCAGGCGCAAGGCTGGAGGCCAGAGAGCAGTGTGGGGTGCCACGTCAGGGAGTCAGGGAGGAAGCCGGGTGGGGCTAGGCAGGATCGGGCGGGTAGGCGGGAGGGGCCGGATGGAGCCACTCCCTCTTGGGGAGTCCAACCCCCTTAACCCCACCCCAGCAGAGGCCAGGCCTTCACATCCACTCACCCGCACTGGGCAGAGCGGAGGAAGCCTGCCAGGGGGACAGTGAGGGGCTGGGAGAGGCGTTGCCCAGGATTGGGCCACAGAAGGAACAGAACAGGAGAGCAGATTCAGGGGGTGGGGAAACTGGAGGGGACATGAGGCAGGGCTGCAGGGTTTTCTGGGACAACACACTGGCCTGTGCCCTCTGAGGAGCTGCTGTGTGGATGTAGAAAATGGACCAGGTCTGGCAGGGAAGCGCCTTCAGGGGCTCCCTGGGTAGGTGTTTAATACATGTTAACCACATGAATGAACAGCCCCCAGAGATGCTCTGGCTAAGGCTTTCCCCTCAGCAGCTGCCCCGCTCAGGCCTGCGCCTCCCTGCTCACCCGCATCCACCCACCTGTGCTCCCTGCTGCCCGCTCTCCACCCAGATACCACACAGCTGGTGGCAAGGGACTCCTTCCTGTGCGGGCTGGTGAATGCGAGCCAGGGCCTAGGAGGGCAGAGCAGGCTCCATGCTCGCCGCTCTCCCATCCTCTGCCTCCAAACACCCTCGCCACCCCACTTCAACCCCCACACGTCTGGGGTCCCCAGGTGCCTAAAGGAACAAACAAACAGCCAAGAGCTTGAACTCCCACAGAGGATTAACGGTGGCTGCAGAATAGGCTCTGTGTGCCTAACGGGCCAGGCCTCTGGAAGGCTCTGGGAATATCAGCGTGAACAGGGCAGACACAGTCCCTGCCTCCAGAGGGCTTACCATCCATCTACGGAAAGCCCTGGTTCAGGGATAATGACACAAGGCTATCAGCCAGGCGATGGGGTACCAGGAAGTCAGCTGCCAGGTGCTGAGTGTAAACACCTGGGCGTGGGAGGTGTAGCTTCCCCAGGGAAGAGGTGTAATGGGAAACGCCAGGGCTGAGGAAGTTGGCTCCACTGAGGGGTGTGAGGGAAGGCCATTCTGGGCAGAAGGGAGAGCTTGGGCCTCCCAGAGCTGGTGAGCCTGCCACTCCCGAGGACCTGGGAGAGGGCCAGGATGACTGCAGGGCAGAGAAGGGAGAGAGGAGGTGCAGAGGGTGGTCCCACCTTCCCCTCAGACACCAGGTTCCGCTGGGAAGCAATGGGATGGGGATGGAGACCAGTGAGGGGGGGTGTGGGGGTGAGGGACATCTTTAACTGTCAGCCCTGACCCCCTCTCTTCTCTTTACAGAGCTGCTGGCTGCAAAGAAGACCCACACCTGTGAGTAGAGGCTTGGGGTGAGCACTGGTGCTGGGGTGTGGAGAGATGGCACAGAATCCAGCAAGGGCTGTGGGAGGTTCTTGGGAGAGAAAGGCACGGTAGGTTACAGAGATGGAGGGGCCGTGCACAGGTGGCCCGGCCTGAAGAGAGGTGGAGCCTAGAAAAGCAGGGGAGATGGGGAGACAGACAGGGAGATGAGGAAAGGAGAGGGAGGGATGAAGAAACCTCAAGATCAGGGCAATGGAGGAGATAAGGGAGAAGCCCGAAGAGCCGAAGAGCGAGGGGGAACATTGCAAAGAAACAAGGAGTAAAAGGGCGCTGCAGGGCAAGGAGGGGAGGGATGCTGGACAGAGACACCGAGAGGGAAGGGGTGGGGGCAGGGAGGCAGGGTGGCCAACACCAGGCTTTGCGGCAGCTGAGCCAGGTTTGGTGTTCCTCTCTGTGGTTAACACATCCTGAGGTGTGAACAAGCCTGGGGCCAGGCTGTGCAGGGCTGGAGAGCAGGAAAGTGTTCATTGCTGCAGGGAACACATGGACAGGGACACTCTGGGTCCCAGGGCCCAGGAAGACTGAGGCTACAGCATGCAAGAAGGGGCTAGAGCTGAGGAAGGACTTCTCCAATGGATGTGAGGGAGTAAGCACATCAGATCTACCCTCCTGGTTTGTGGGAAGAGCTACTCCCCCAGAAAATGCACCCACTCCACCTCATTCCCAGAGCTTGTGTCATACCAGAGCCAGGCGTGCCCTTCACAGCCTGAGGGCGCTCTGGGGAAGGCCTCCATGAGCCAGGAGTCCCTCCCTTGATGGGGACAGCTCTGGGATAGGAGAGGCTGCCTCTCTGGCCCTGCCTTGAATGGCCTACCAGTTCCTCCTGAGAGCTCGCCACCACCCCTTCCGCTGATAACAGTGCCTAGGACCTTGCCGTTCCAGGCAGAGGCACGGCCGAGGGCAGCAGCGCCACTGTCTCCCTGAGCCGGGCAGACTGGGGCTGGGGGCCATCCAGGATGCTTCAACTTCCTGGGTGGGGGCTTGCTTTGCTCAGCACAATCCTGGTGGGGCCTCGCCTGCCCCTAGCCACAGGGCCCCACGGAAATGCTGAGCAGGGCCCGGGGAGGAAAACGGGTCAAGGAGTGACGTGCGAGCGAGGGGAAAGGAGCCGGGGACCATATGTGGGTGGGGGGTAGAGGGGGAGTTTCAGAGCAGCTAGAACTGGAAGTGGCTAAACTCCATTCCTACCCTTAACCCCTAACCACAGAAACCTCTGCCTGGGCCACCCCCCTGATGCCCTTCCCAACCCACTGGCCCTGTGCAACCGCACCCCCACCCCCACCCCATGAGTGTCCTCCCAAACCCAGGCGGCCAGCCCTTCGCCCAATTCACTGCCCAGCTCCTGGGGACTGAGGACGGCCAGCAGGGAGAGGGCTGTACCAGGCTGAGGAGCTACTGGGGTTCCGGTAAGAACGGAGACCTCCGGGGATCTGACCCAGAGAGCCAGGAAAGATACACCTACCTTCTCCAGGCAGAGAGGCCCTAATCGATGGGCTCCGAATTGAGACAACTCCAAGAAGGGAGGAACCCAGGAGGGAACCCCCCAGACTGAGGTACCCAGAGAGCAGATATGAGGCTGAGAGGGTCTCTAAAATGGATTGGCCCCTCAGAGGGACCCCTAGGCCAAGAAACTCTATAGAGAGACTCACCCACGAGGAGCCCTCTCCCAAGCTGAGGCACCCTTAAGGGCAGACTTGAACCAGAGAAACCCTGGTTCAGTGGGATCCAGGATCAAACTGCCTGAGTTTGAATCCTGACTTCACCGCTTGCTAGCTGTGTGATCTTGGGCAAGTTACTTAAACTCTCTGTGTCTCACTTTCAACTTTGAAGTGGGGATAACGGTACCTACCTCATAACGTATTTTGTGAGGATTAGATAACCCACATAAAACATTGAAAAAAACATTTCTGGCACATAGTATCAGTTTTGTTCCCAAGGAAATTTCTGACAGACTAACCCTTCCTACAGATAGTGGGCATTTGTCGGATGGTTATTACTGCTACTATTGTCATTTATTCCCTACCTCAGGGCATACATGGTGTCTGTAGGGAGGGCGTGAGCATGGTGGGTGGTGGGGGCAGCCTCCCAGACTGTGCCTCAGTGGGCACGGCTCTTAGCAGTCCACGGGGTCTCAGGTGGAACACGCCACCACCCCAGGCAGACATATCTGTGACTTACCTCTAGAAACATCCCTGTCCCTGGCGTCACCTGGCAAAGAGGGTCAGGCTTGGGAGTCCCCAGAGGGAGGGGGAGTCGGAAACTGGCCCCAGGCTCGTGTGAGCTCCATGCTGGCTCCCCAGCCAGAGCCACCCTGTCAGGTGGAAACAGCTTTTACCGTGTGTGGCTGTCGATTGTGGTTTTGGAATTTTCCAACGCCCCCTGCCACTGGCTGCCCCGCCCCTCACACCCTGCCCCAGGCCCAGATTGGCCACGTGGGGCGCCTGTTATCCTACCCGCTGCACCCTAGGGAGGGGTGGGGGTGGCGGAGTGGAGTTGGGGGGTTGTCACTGGGCCACCTGTGTGGTGCTGGCTTAAACCCCCCAGCCCAGAAGCATTGGGGGAGAGCTGGGTGCAGAGCTGCAGGCTGAGGCTCTGCTGAGAGGCCTCGCCCCCAACCCTGCTGCCAGCTGTGCCCCATCTCTGGACCACTCCGGGCTGAGAAGGACAGGGAGCCACGGTGGCAAAGCCCACAGCTCAGCCATGAGAAGTAAGTGAATGGGGCCGCCTGGGAGCGGGGAAGCCTGGATCCCGCATCATCCCCAGGCCTTCTGGAAAGCAGGGGTGTCTTGGGAACAGTGAGCAAAATTGAGCCCTCTCCCCTGGCAGGGTGTGTCTCGGTCAAGGCCAAGGTCTGTAGGCAGGTGGGTGGAGTAGCTGGGGAGTCTGAGAGCAGCGAGAGGAAAGGGCTCCCCTGCCCTGAGTGCTGGAAAGGATTCCAAGAGGTGCCCTGCCCCTCACTTTAGAAAGAGACTGAGCCCTGAGAGGCCGGGAGGCCGGGGGCTGCCCTCCAGACCACACAGTTGAAGTAGATGGAGGTTGGTGAGTAACCCGCACCCTGAACGCACTCACCGGCTCCCGCGGCAGGGTTGCCCTCTGTGCCTTCAGCCTGCCTGCGAATGTGGTGGGAAAGGGGCCAGAGGAGCTGCTGGGCCCTGGAGCAGCCGGACTTGAGAGGCGGGTGAGGTCAGTAGGCGGAAAGGGTCAGAACCCCAGCATCCAGGCCTCAGAGCCACCAGTCCAGGGGCGTGTGTGTGTGTGTGTGTGTGTGTGTGTCCCCAGGCCCAGTCTCCAGGGGGATCAGGCAGAGGAGATGGGAGCAGAAAGCTTTCAGATTCACCCCCTTTCTGGCCCGGGGTCACAGGCCAGCAGCTAGTGGGCAGATGTCTGGGGTCCCTGTGCCATCCAGCAGAGCAAGAGTGGGCGAATCTGCCAGTGCCCAGGTTCATGTAGGAGAAGCCAGAGAACTGCTCAGAGCAGTGGGTGCAGGAGAGAGAGGAAAGCCCGGGCCCCTATGGCCCGTACCTGGGGCAGCCCGGCCTCCACCTGGCGCCTTCCCACAGGACACAGGAGCAAGGCCATCTGGGGACCCAGAAAGGCCCATGGCTGAGAGTCTGATGACCAGGCTCTGCTGCCACCTGCCACCGACCAGCCATGCAGTCTTAGGCGAGTCCCTGGGTCCTGGTCTCCTCTGCAAAACAAGGGAGCCCAACTTAAAAAACAAAACCAATTCTGGAGAGGCTCTGAGGGCCCAGGACCAAGGAGAGAGCTCTGGGCCCAAGTTAGGCACCCCCAAGAGTAGCGAGGGACACTCAGCTTTCTGGGGTTGGGGGGACAGGCAGGAAAGAACTCCGCTCCCAAGCTTGGGATGGAGACTCCCGTCCGTGCAGGTGGATGAGCCTGGGTGGGCCAGGAGGGGTGAGAAGAGCCAAAAGCATCCGCAGGAAGAAGGGCCCCTTAGAGTGTCAGTTTCCCTTCTAGCGTCTTCCCATTCGCAGCAAAGGTTAGCCCAGCTGTCTTCCCAGAAATGGCCTCAAATCCGCTGCCCCAGGAACCAATGACTGGGCGTGCTGCGGCGCCTGGCATGCGGGCAGCAGTCCCTGGGACTGGGTGAGGGAGACACGGGGGCACCCCGATGTGGGACCCCCCACAGCTCCATCCAGGCTGGGAAGAAGGAGAGGGGTCTCTTCTGTTTGGGGCTCTGTGCCACTGGTCCTTCTCACTAGGACATCTCTGGGTATCTCACAGCCCCAACTTACCTGACTTCACCCCCAATGAGCCAGACACCACCATGCCCTCTGAGGAGAGCTGGGGCAAGTCGGAGCACTGGGGGCTTGGGATCGGGACTTACCCAAAGACCAGGGAGCAGAAACAGACTGAGACATAGAGATGCAGAGGCCCAACTCACAAGACAGAGACTAATGTGACACACGGGAGGGAGTGGCGGCCGTCCGGGTGGAGATATAATGGAGAAACCCCGGGAGAGCCAAAACACTGCGTGTGAAGGCCCAGACGGAACACAGAGAGGCCCGCAGACTCGGAGAGAGGAAGCGGGGAGCGTGGAGGGAGACACTGAGTACCCATGGCGTCGAGGAAGGTGGAGAGGAGGAGGCATGGGCTTCCGGAGCTTCTGGAAGGGTGGTACAGGCTCCCTGCTCCTAAGTAGAGAGGAAATGTCCATGAGCCAAAACGTCCCAGCCAGCCAGAGGGCGGGCAGTGCAGCCAGCCGTCACACTCCGGCAATGGCCAGGGTGGAGCCAAGAGGCACAGGCCCTGGCGAGAGGCCTGGATGGGGAGGTAAGAGGATGAGCGGGACAGGTGCCTGCCTGGCTTTGCTGTACCTGGTCTCTCTCAGGTCTGATCCGGCTGGTGAGGAGCCGTGGGCCAGATAGAAGCCCACTCCCCAGGGTGCCACCGGTCTCCCCCTGAGAGCCGGGCCATCGGAGACTTTACAA